ATATTGGGTAACTAGGGATTTGCTGAATTGCTAACATTTTCAAATCAATGGCTTCACCATAAAGATAATTTCAATGTCATCCATAAAGGAAGTTTGGCAGGTCATCAAAGAAGGAGGTACCTTTCTCTGAAGGGAGGAGAGAACTTCCACTTTGACCATGGCCTTGTCTAAATATGATCAGAGTTGGTGAACTCAAAAGGCTTCCATAGCCTTGGCAACTCATGACTAGAGCCTAGGGTGATTACTGATGCCATAAACAAGACTGTCAATTTGTTAAGTCAACAACAGAAGTCACTATGCACTTACTCCTCATGTAGGATCTCTGTCCTTAATGTGCTGTACATTGTGATTTAATGCTATAACTAGTACTCAAACAGTATTTTTCACTTTGTGTTTCTATGTGGGTGCAAACTGTTGAAATCTTTACTTCTTTACTTTATACTAAATTGATCTTCTGTATATAAAGAGAATTGAAAATGAATCTTGATGTAAATGGAAGGGGAGAGGGAGCAGGAAATGGGAGGGTTGTGGGTGGGAGGGAAGTTATGGAGGGGGGAAGCCATTGTAATCCATAAGCTGTACTTTGGAAATTTATATTCATTAAATAAAAGTTAAATAAAAAAGGAAGTTAGGGGTGAAGATGTATGGTTGCATGGTAAAATCTCTAAAGTATTCAGTATACAAAGACTTGTGAAATACACTGGCCCAATGATATACCTTAAACTTGGGAGGCAGAAATTCTCAGTGAATCCTTTGACAAGAAAGGAGTCAGCTACAAACAGAACTTCTGCTTGACTAGGCTTCCTGTAGCCTTGCTCTGTCTCCCCTCAGCCTTACATTGAGAGGGAGCTCGGGGAGGAACTGTGTCTGCATTTGGAATGTTGTGGCTCTCTTAGGATGCTCTGCATCCAGTGCCAGTAGCAGAGAAGATATAGACAAGCATTTCTCTGAATGAGTCACAGCTGGCAGAGTAAGGTCAAGGTGTGTGGAGCTAAGTGTGCTCATTTTGTGCAAGCAAACAAGGCAGCGTCACTGACAGCCAGGAGAGAGGGATGCTACCCCCACTGCCATTGCTCAGCTGAGAAAACCCTGGTGTAGAAACCTGGCTCAAATGTACACAACCTTCAACAATGAGAATTAGAATTGTTGCACCTTGATTTGTCTAACAAACCCCAGGTTCCTTTCTATCATAGTGCATGAGTTCCTACTCTCTCCATGGGTAAGTCAAATCACTGTTCTGTCTCCTGAAAGGGAAAGGAGAAGTGACTCACTGCTACCTTTTTCCTACCTAACATGCTGCCCTCCCGTAGCTCCCAGGATAGGATAAATGAACTTAACACTCTGGAGCAGTATCACTAAAATGTTCATTTTAAAAAATGGTCTTTCAGAATTCATATCCTGAATTTCAGATTCCAAAGGGGACCCTGCTCCTCAAGGGCATAAAAATGAGACATCTAATTACCTTCTTCCTTAATTCATCTGCTACCTCTGAGCTTCTGGAAGTTGAATGCCATAGAGGAAGAATTCTTGGGGCAAGACACAATGATAAGTCTGAGGTAGTCATAATTTTGAATGTAGACTGTTGAACAATTTTGTTTAGGGACCCAAACAGGCACTTCAGGATAATAAAATTGGCCTTCGGCAGCTGGGCTAAGAGCCTAAACACAGAAAATGCAGTCATTTTCTTCAGCAACTTGCATATACAAAGAAAATAGGGCACTTTGAATGCCTTTTAACACAACACAATGAAAATACAGAAAATGAACCAACATGTCTAAAAATCACTGCCTGCAGTTTTGGTGAAACCATAGCAATGTGCTTTAACTGCAGCAAACTTTCTGAATACCTAAGTAAGCATAAGTAAATTTTAAAAAACAGTGTTGCATGCCATATGTGTGGCACTGAAAGTTTACTGTTGAAATTAAACAGCACACAAATTGAAAGCACTACCTTCTTTTTAAAGGTAGTAGTACAAGAATGCTGCCTCATGACAAGAGCCCAATGCTATAATTTAACAGACTCAGTCCAAGTTCAAACACATATAAAAATGTTGCATTGTACACCACATATAGACCTCTCAGCTAGCTCTTGGATTATATTTAGGTCAGACCACTGATAAATTGGTCTTATCTCTTGGACCAATGGTATTCCTCCCATATCAATGTCACAAATTCAGAATGTGTACAATGGTGAAGGACTCCATATCAATAACATTAGGAGAGAATTAAGAACTAAGTGACAGAGGCAAAGCCTATATCTTTTTTGATTCTGGCTTTCATCTGTGTGACCAGTGAGACCCTTTCACATTGTTCCTTTGTTTAGTGGATAGAGCTCTTAAGCAGAACTAGTATTTTTTTGCATGCTGTGTAGGCTGTGGTTGTGAAGCAGAGTTAAAGTACAGTAATTAATGGCCAGCGCCGTGGCTCACTAGGCTAATCCTCTGCCTTGTGGCACTGGCACACTGGGTTCTAGTCCCAGTCAGGGCACCGGATTCTGTCCCAGTTGCCCCTCTTCCAGGCCAGCTCTCTGCTGTGGCCCGGGAGTGCAGTGGAGGATGGCCCAAGTCCTTGGGTCCTGCACCCCATGGGAGACCAGGATAAGCACCTGGCTCCTGCCTTCGGATCAGCGCGGTGCACCAGCCGCGGCGGCCATTGGAGGGTGAACCAACGGCAAAGGAAGACCTTTCTCTCTGTTTCTCTCTCTCACTGTCCACTCTGCCTGTCAAAAAATAAAATAAAATAAAATAAAGTACAGTAATTATTGTATCAACACCTCTGAATCGCAGGTACTTTATTCTCGTCCTCTTTCTCAAATACATCAAGCCACTGGTCATACAGCTTGGCTGAAAATATAGTTCCTGGCAGGCTTCGAAGAAAATCCTTATAGAGTTTAAAAGATAAGTCATGTTAATTTGATGCCAAATATATGAGGTTAATTACAAAGAAAAATATTTAATTGAAATATTCAGTTTAATCCCAACTCTCTTCTTAGACATCCAAACTATGACCTCCAATTCTCTGAAGGGCTCATGTGGAAATGGGTGCTTAACTTTCTTCTGACTAAAGCTAGAAGCAAAAAAGAAGCAGCTAGGAAGTTCTGGGAGTGAAGAAAAAGTCTCCTCTTCCTGTGTGAATCATCTTGTTTGTATATTCTAGCAAACTCATTCAAACCTACAGAGTCTGGTTCTGCATCACCCTCAACCCTATCATTTCCCCAAAAGTATAGAAAAATACCTGTTTTACTTGTTTATATCAGACCCAGTGCTTTTAAACCTTAACAACAAAGGTTCTTAATCAAATGAACTAAATATAAATACATGCACTCATTTACAATGTTAAGTGAGGATTTGAGCTTCTGATGGCAGTTATCTGTTGTTCTTGTGGACAAAACTCCCTAACAGCCTCACTCTAGATTTCTTTCACACCTTAACATTTAGTGTTCTCAACATGAAAACAGAGGATTGTGGAATATGCATTTCCAAATTCCCAATAGGTAGGTTGACTTCAGAATGAATCCTTATGTTGGAACATATATGCCCTCTATACAAGGGAATCATACAACTTAATCAAAGCACCAGTCTAGGGCTTAGAGTATTTGGGCTAGATGCATGCAAAGGAAATCTTCTTAACTGATGCGTCAGAATATTGGTCACATCATGTGGCTGATGAACAAGTCTTACCACTGTAAAGTCAGTCCTTCTCCTAAATTTCATGAAACAGTCACATTTTTTGGACAACAGTGAGGGCAGGCTGTCATTGCCTTGCCAGCTTTCCTTCAACTGTGTGGGGAGCAATCCAGACTGGACTGAGTTACTGGAATTAAGACTTATTCTATGCATCTGCTCTCCCACAATATGGCGCTGGGAGAGAAGTAAACAGCTTCCGCACAGCTGCCTCCAGTTCAACTAATAAACTGTAGGACTTGCTCCTGATTGGAGGAGAGCAGCGTACTTGGCGTGTGGGCAGCCGAGTTGGGATTGGCGGAGGAGGACTATAAAGGAGGAGAGAGACGGCATGCACCAGGAACATCTATGGGGAACATCTAAGGAACACCCGTGCAGCCCCCGAGAAGAGCCGGCCGGCGGTGTGCCGCTCCCCTGCGGAAGTGGGGAAAAGTGGCCAGGGGGAACTGCCCTTCCACGGAGGTGGAAGGGATAGTAGCCAACCCGGGAAGAACCAGCAGCAAACCCGGGGAGGGCCGAGCAGACGAAAGAACAGCGCAGGGTCCTGTGTCATTCCTCCACGAAGAGGAGGAGCGACATAATGGGGCCGTGACTCAGATATGAAGCCTAGGCAGGGCTTAGTGTCGTTCCTCCACGAAGAGGGGGAGCGACATAATGGTGCCGTGACTCGGATAGGAAACTTAGGACGGATATGAAACTCAGGAGGGAAGAAACGGGAAGAAGTGGGAAAATACCGGAGAGAGAGACTAGCAAAGAGCCTAGGTGCCGGAAGAAGCTATTGAAAGCCTAGGCAGAGACTCGGATATGGACTGTGGGAAAGAAGTTAGGATTTAAAGTGAAAGCAAGAAGAAACTTAGACTTAGATACGGACTGCAGGTTGAAAGTGAAAGTGAAACCTATAAGAAACTTAGACTTGGATACGGACTGTGGGGAGAAGCCAGGAGAAATGAGAGGAATATTGTTGGAAGAAAACTTAAGGAAACATACCGGGTAGAGAAAAATGTTAGGGAGGATGAAGCCGCGAGTGCAGGCCAAGGCGGAGACATAAGCCACCTTGGAATTCTTCAAGTCACCCCGGGGAGCAAGAGGCGAAGATCTGGAACCAGAGGCAGAGACGTGGGCCGCCAGGTTGAAATTCGCCAGGTTAGTCCGGGGAACTTGGACTGAATGCCGGTGGTGGCGGAAACATTCGCGGAAGCCGCCGCGTGCAGAGAGAGCACGGGGCGTGAATAGATAGGGAACGCAGGGCTGGCGCGAGGCCGTGGTGCGGGCGCGAAGTGCGTGGAGACCGCGGAGTGTGCGCGCGAAGCCGAGCCGCGCAGATGAGAGAAGCGCGGGCTGAAGCGGCGCAAAGCCGGGAAGCCGCCGCGGGGCGGGCGCCGGCGGGGCGAGGCGCCGGGAAGCCGCGCAGAGCTGTGAAGCCGCCGCGGGGCGGGCGCCGGCGGGGCAAGGCGCCGGGAAGCTGCGCGGAGCCGTGAAGCTGCCGGCAGGGCGAGGCGCCGGGAAACCGCGGGGATAAGAGAAACAGAAGTTTAGAAGTAAAGTGAGAGAAATAGGAATGCTGGAAGATAGAAGTAAAATGGGAGAAATAGGAATGCCCGGAGATAGAGAAATAGAGAAATAGAAAGGCCTCCCTACAACACTGCAATGTGAGAGCTTGGATTTGGTCTGCCTGATTAAGTGAGGCGATGAGCACGATGAGCACCTGCGGCGGCTAGCAGCTTATGCGCCGCAGGTCACCGAAGACAGGCACGAATTAACATCAATAAGGCCTCCCCACAACACAGCGCTGAGAAGGCTTGGATTCGGTTTGCCTGATTGCTAGGTTTTGTAAGCCCCTGCAGGCAGAGCAGAGTATGCGCTGCAGGGCACCAAACACAGGCACGCATCAGCGCCTAAAAACCTCCTCACAACATGGCGAAGAGAGGACCCGGATTCGGTTTGCCTGATTGATAGGACTTGTAAGAGCTTGTGGCAACTCTAGCAAGTAGAGCAGAGTGTGTGCCGCGGGACACCGAAGACAGGCGCGTATCAACGCCAAAAAATAAAAAGAAAGGGGGATCTGTGGGGAGCAATCCGGACTGGACTGAGTTACTGGAATTAAGACTTATTCTATGCATCTGCTCTCCCACAATATGGCGCTGGGAGAGAAGTAAACAGCTTCCGCACAGCTGCCTCCAGTTCAACTAATAAACTGTAGGACTTGCTCCTGATTGGAGGAGAGCAGCGTACTTGGCGTGTGGGCAGCCGAGTTGGGATTGGCGGAGGAGGACTATAAAGGAGGAGAGAGACGGCATGCACCAGGAACATCTATGGGGAACATCTAAGGAACACCCGTGCAGCCCCCGAGAAGAGCCGGCCGGCGGTGTGCCGCTCCCCTGCGGAAGTGGGGAAAAGTGGCCAGGGGGAACTGCCCTTCCACGGAGGTGGAAGGGATAGTAGCCAACCCGGGAAGAACCAGCAGCAAACCCGGGGAGGGCCGAGCAGACGAAAGAACAGCGCAGGGTCCTGTGTCGTTCCTCCACGAAGAGGGGGAGCGACACAACTGGTCTCACTAGAAGCCTCAAAACTCTCAATAGCAATGAATATAGAAGATGCATTCCAACAACTACTGCAATTGTAATCCAGGAACAGTTCAGTAGCTCTGATTGACAGCTCAATTCAATTTGGTCCTGATCAAATATTTGTGTCTAGTCTGGACCACCTCTCCAGGTATTTCCCATGGTATTTCCCAAGGATCAGATTTTAAAGCCTTCAGTGGGGTTTCTCTACGTCTTGCTGGAAAGTGACATGAATCTCATGTATGTTCCCTAGTATATATTGCTATGATCTGAGTATAGTATTTGTCACCTATAAGTCATCAGTGGCCTATTGCTATTTCTCATATGGCCAAACATGGAGGATAAAGAAAGACCAAATGTGATATAGATTCTCATAGGTTTTGAAGGCCCATTTGTAGATATTATCATGTTAACATATTTTTCCATAACTCTTAACAAAATTCAAGTATGTGGAAGGGTATGTGGTTGTTATTATTTTCCCTTTTGCAAGTATTCCTAGATATTTAGAAATTTTTGCATCTTTTGAAACCTACTTATATTTTACATTGATTATATTTTAAGAATTCTAATCCAATTTTGACTGCTGCATCAACTTTTAAATTCAGATTTCTGAGATGTGCCTGATGTTATAGGTGGATTACTGTTCAAATACAACTGTGACTATTGGGCTAAGCCCAATCCAAAAAACAAAGTATACCAAAGGTGATCAAAGTGAAGTCAAGTACAATGGCAGAGTCCTTTGTCCACCACATTCTTTTAAAAAGGCATAAAAGACAGGGGAAATGACTGAAGATTTTCTTTGCATCTATGTGCATTTGTTGATTCATTGTATGGCAAATATTTGCTGACCATCAAAAACTTCTAAGAATGGAGTGTTCAGAGGTCAGTTTGAAGAAAAAGGAAAATTTATCTGACATCCAATGTTTACACAATGAAGGGAGTAGTTGCCTGCTACGATTTCCTGTCTCTTTAGTATTCCATCTATTAAATCTATTAAGCCTTGGAGTAGTCGTGATGAATGAAACCATCCACATACCTCCATGTTTTGCATACATGATGCTAGAACTCTCCCTACCTGTAATACAGTGGCTGCCACAAGAGGAGATTCATTGCTCCAGTCAACTGTACCTCCGGAACTTATTTTTTGCTTCAGGGCTGTGTAAGATGCTATGCTTCCTGGTTTCCTGAATATTCCCTCTGCCTGTGATCCTTTGTCAATAAAGTAAAGTAAATCCTATGGCAAATAAAAAGGAGAACAAGAGGTAGGGCATTCCAGATCCAGAAGCCTTGAACAAAGGCTTATTTCCATTTATTTTCACAATACTGTTGTATTAATACAAAGATAAGAGATTCAATGTAGTTCACAGATACAATTCTAAGAATATAATGATGCTTCCCTCTCTGCCCTTCCTCTATATCCACTCACGCTCTCTCCCCACCTTTCACCCCTACTTTATTTTCTTTTTTTCTTTCCAATTTAGACAAAAACAGCAAGAGTGTGTGAGGGGACACTGAGAGAGCTGACAGGAATGAAGGAAATTGTTTTGGGATCTCTGAATATATTTTTAACACTTCCATCTGAAGAATTTCAACATGCTTTTATCATATTTTCTTTTTCAGTGCACTGAACTTTTAAATCAAACTTCTCTGATTCAAGCTTCTAATGAACCACTCTTTATTAATTATTAATTTACTATGCTTTTCTCAGTACTTCCTTGATCTTGCCCACATAGGGAAACTTAGCTGTCACACTTATTTATCATTGGTTTACTATGCTTCAGTGACTGTGACCCATTCCTACTTCCTGTAGTCCCTTGTACTCATTTAAATCCAGGCTAAAAATCCATCTCTTCCCTGAATCTATCTCGGACTGCATTCTCTACTCACCAGATTTTCATTTCCTATTTCTCCACCTTCATGCCCATGGGAGAAGGTAAAGGATTTTCAGGGTCAGGTATTCTAGGAATGTTTAATCTACTAGCCCACTCATTTTCACTCTAACTTTGGGCATTGAACACAACCTTAACTAATACTTTCTTTTTATCTGCTGTTGATGTCTGGATGATGATCCTAGCAACTCCTTAAACTTGTTGCAAATTCTACAAGGTCTGGACAATATTTAACACGAAACTAACTTGATAAACTCCTTCCCACCTAGCATAACACTCCCTACATCTAGTAGAGTACATGGGAGTACTGGACAATCAACAAATATGGTGATTATGAAGTATATTAATTGGAAATAAAATGGGCCACATTCTCACATGATAGAAGCATGAATATATGCCAAAAGATGTATGGAAGCATTTGAGCTACAAATAGCATACCTGTGAGATATGCTGAGTTGCAAGATTGAGTCATTTGAATGAGGAGGAAGCAATGAAAGGACACTGAAAACTCATGCAGAGTTCAAGGAAGAGGTTAAAGGAGAATCTGAGGGTGAGGTGGACACAGTGGTTCAGTCACACATAGCCCTTTGTGGTTTTTCTGATCAGTTCTATGTGGATCTTAGCTGAAATCAGTGGAACCAATAAGAATATCATTTTTTTGCTTTTGTGCCTGACTGTGAAATCTAAATCTGATTTTTCTTCCTTGAAGTAATACTAATAAAGCATTTCAGCCAAAGGAAGGGGCTGACACAAGATTTCCTCATCTGGAAACCGAATAACAGGAGGACACCTAACTCTCAACATTCCTGTCCTTGGGAGGGTTGTAGAAAATTGAAGCGAGACCTACCAAAAGTGGGCTAGTCAGTTTTTTCTTCCTAGACAGCACCAAGAGGGAGGCTGCATGGAACTGGACTGACAAAGGAGCTGCTGAAGAGTCCCCCTTGGTCAGATCACCCCGCTTTTTGCTCTTGTTCAGCCTGAGCAGTCGGGTCATGTGCCTACCTGGAGAGGAAAGGAGATTATTAGAGTAGATGAGTGAACTAGATTCTAGTTTCCACCTTTTCTATTTGACAGATATTTTCAACCATAGTTAGAGAAAAGAGAGAAGTTGCGTTATTTATTGTGTAGAAACGCCTACATTCTGAAATCGGCCAATCGCATTCATGTGGTATTAATGAATTCTTCTTTCCCATTTCCTGTAAACTTGTAGAGAGGAAGCAGATATTTAGCCTAGTGGTTAAATACCTGAGTCCCATATCAGAATACCTAGGTTTGATTTCCAACTCTTCCTCTTGATTCCAGATCTTTCCGAATGCAGACTCTGGGAAGGAGGCAGCACTGAGGACTCAAGAAATTGGATTCCTCTCAAGGGAGATCTGATTAAATTTACAGATCCCAGTGTTGGCCCTGACCCAGCCATGAACCTTTCTGGCCATTTGGGGAGTGAATTGAAGGATATGAAATTTCTATCTCACTGTGATATTCTCTCTCTCTCACTCACTCTCTTTCTCTCTTCCCCTTTAAAATCAACTGCCAATGAAATACAGAGGTTTGAAGAGACTCAGGTTCAGTGGAAGATGGTCCAAGTCCTTGGGCCCCTGTGCCACATGGGAGACCTGGAAGAAGCTCATGGCTCCTGGCTTCAGATTAGCACAGCTCTGGCTGTTGTGGCCATCTAGGGAGTGAACCAGTGGATGGAAGACTCCTCTCCCTCTCTCTCTCTCTCTGCCTTTTCTCTCTGTGTATAAGTCTGACTTTCAAATAAATAAATAAATCTTAAAAAAAAAAAAAGAAAATCAGTTACTGCCACCATATTTCTCATTTTCCTAACAAGTTTCTCAGCAGGGATACATCTATAAAAAGAACACTGGAATGATAGCAGGAAAATGGAAAGCAGGAAGCTCAGAAACCCCTAACCACAAAGATTCAGTCCGGGTCTAATCTAGATCTGTGTCTGAAGCAGATGTGTAAAGTCAGCTTGCTGTGGGCTCATTCAGAGTCCATTCAAGGGGCCACCATTGAAACATAACTGGTTAAGCTGCTGCCTGAGATACTGCATCCCATATGGCCATTGGTTCAAGTCCTGGCTGCTTGACTTCCCTTCTAGCACCCTGCTAATGCACCAGGGAAAGCAGCAGAATATGGTCCAGGTCCTTGGGCCCCTACACCCATGTGGGAGACACAGGTGAAGAAGCTCCTCACTTCTGACTTTGGCCTGGCCGAGCCCTGGCTGTTGGAGCCATTTGGGGAGTGAATCATGGGATGGAAGATCTCTTTCTCTCTCTCTCTCTCTAATCCTGCTTTTCCAAATAAATAAAATAAATATTTAAAAAAGATTCAGTTCAGGCTACAACCCCTCAGCCACTTCTGCCCAAGGCAGAACAGATCCCAGTTCAACTGCACAAATCTTTGCTCTCCTAGAGATCTTCCACTTTGTGTCTAAGTCATGCAGTAAATTGATCACCTGCTGCTCTCAGCTGAGATTCAGAGATAAGCCCAGGGATGGGAAAGTCATGACTTCTCAGAAGCTGCACTGTAATGTGACATAGGTGGGTATGGGCACAACTATGTACAGAAAATACCCAGGGCATCCAGAGAAGACTAAAGACCTAACACAGAGAAATGAAGACAAACTTCTAGACCAGAGTTTGGTCTTTGAATGGATTCTGTAAGCCTGAATTTGCATGGGCATAGGGTTTCTGTTTCTACTGCTCCCCCTCCCCCATGGAGAGGAGCTTTGGGTCATGAATTTCTTACCAGGGATGTGACCTGAAAGAAGGAAGTTGCTGAAAAAGAAAGGACTCACCACTCTTGCACTGGCCTGTGGCCTGGCACCTGGGTTTCAGAATGAAATAGCCACATACATGTGAGCACAACTCTTCTAAGGTAGATTCGTGGAGGCTGGGAAGAACGACAGCATTCTCAGATGCAGGTGACGGGTGCTCAGCTCGAAGGTAGGTTGTTTGAATTGTGTATATATTTTCGTGTCCTATGCAGAGAAAAATTTCAATATAGATCAGGCTGATGGGGATGATCAAACATGCCTTGTCATCAGCATGGGTACCACACTAGGGCCTGCTGAAGTTCTCCTGGGCCTTTGGGAAAGAAGAGGGCTGTCTTGTGAGTGAGTATCATGCAAACTCTCTGAAGAGACACCACGTAAAGCAGGTGTCCCAGCAAGGAACTTTTCAAAAGTAAAGAGAACAAAAGTGGAAACCTGTTGCCTAGTTTGGAATGCATACATCCCTCTCTGCATTCCATGTTAGTGACATCTGCTGTTTCCATCAGAAAATATATAAGGCCTCCTGATTTTCTGCCTTGACACCAACTAGATTTTTATGTCTCCTGCAAGTTACTTGACCCCACTATGATTACCTTCATCATTTTCAATCCTTAACCTCCCTTGTCACATAAACATCTAAGTGCAAATGCATGACGAAACATCAGTGGTTAACATTCTGTGAATTATTAGACCATACATGTCATGAGTTGCTGTGATCAATAATCTCACTTCTGTGCTGGCAATCAAGAGAGACTTCATTTCATGTTGTCAGCTCTATAGTCAGGACTGCTCAAGAGCAGTGGAGCCATGGTTTGCTGTGACCATTCCCTCTCAGGGGCCCTCCCAGCTAACTAGCCAAGGGAAGGCAACAGGGTGTTGGAAACCTAGAGGCATTGTGCAAAGTGCTGTTTCCAGAGTGCAAACCCAGTCATTTATTTTACTCTTACATCCTTGAAATTGCTGGTGACCCAAGAAATTCTCAGAGATCCTATAATAGAGGGTCGATATTTATCACAAAAGTGAAGATGCCTGTGGTGATTCCTGTGTCCCGCATTGAACTGCCTGGGTCTGATCCCTGTCCATAGTTCTTAATTTCAGCCTTCTGCTAATGCAGACCTTGGGAGGCAGACATGATGGCTTGAAAAGCTGGATTCCTGCCACTCATATGGGAAAACTGGATTGAGTTTCTGGTTCCTGGCTTCTGGCTCCTGCCTCAGGAGCCGTTTAGCACTTACTCAGTCTCTCCTGACTCTCTCTCTCTGCTTCTCAGAAAATAAATTTTAAAAATTTAAATATCCTGTACCTTAAGATGTATATTTTGATATTTTATTAATTTACTATAAAGGCAGAGTTAGAGAGGGGAGGTGGAGAGAGAGATCTTCCATCTGCTGGTTCATTCCCCAAATGGCTGCAATGGCCGGGGCTGGGCTAGGTTGAAGTCAAGAGCCAACAGCTTCATCTGGGTCTCCCATGTGGGTGAAGAGGCCCAAGTCTTGGGCCATCCTCTGCTTCTTTCCTAGGTCCACTTGTGGGGAGCCAGATGAAAAGTGGTACAATCAGGACACGAATCAGCCCCATATGCGATGCCAGCATTGCAGACAGTGGCTTAACCTTCTACACCACAGTGCCGGACCCAAGATGGTTTTTTTTTTTTTTTTACAAAGAATAAATGTTCTTTTTTTCCATTTACAATCTATCACTGAATTTTACTTTTTAATTTATTTTTTTTTCATTTTCATCAGGCACAGATAGTGAACAAGAATTATAGTAACTTCTGTCTTACAGGAAAAGAAACTTCCATGACTTTAGCACAATAAAACCAAAATGTCAGGATGCACAGGAGTTAATCAACACTTGAGTGTTGAGAGCCTGTTAAAGTACACATTCAGGATGGCAGCCAAGGGGCCACCATGAATGATATGCTCTTAAAATCTTCAGAGCCAGTAGTGAAGTATGAACCTGTTCTATGCCTACGTGTAGAACATGTGTTATGTAAATTAAAGCCTTTTGTTAAAATATATTGCCAGTTTTTACCATTTTTACATTATTTTATTGCCAAATGACTTTTGCAAAGATGTCAACGTTCAGTGAAAACACAAAAAAATAAACAAACGCGCATTGTGCAGGTGGAGGTTTCCTCAGATGCACTCAGCGATTCCTGTATTCTGAGACTGCAGTATATCTTTCCAAAAAAGAAATTTCATATTTAAATTTTACAGATTACGTGAAGACATCCTAAGTTACACATGAAAGTGCTTCCAAGATTGTTGAACTGTAAGCTGGTAAGAGGAAATGCTGTGTGCTCTTCCTAGGAATCATCTTCAACATTTTACTGCAAGGTCTGTGACAAACGTTCTCCCTCCTCTCCTTCTAACCACTCTGTTTCTATTAAGGACATGAACAAGTTTGCTCATCCTTGAATTGTTTGTTCTGTAGCTAAATTGCTCCAAAACTATCTTAGGAGAGGTATAATCCTTTTATCAATGACCTCTAGATCAAATGCTACAAAACTCAACCTTACAGGCTTTTCTATCAGAAATGTGATTATTTTGATTTTCTTAGTACACTGATACACATTCTGGGCATAGATTTGGCATTAAACAAATCTTACCAATAAGAGGCTGTGGAACCTCTTCATTTGCAGAGTTGACCAAGAGTTGGTAGTCTTTTTCAGAGCCCTTGGAGAAAAAAGAATGAAGCATCACAACAAATCTTCATCAGTACATACCTGCAGGACTTATTTCCTTAGTGTTTCCACATTTCCAAACAAGAAAAGGACCGGACCAGTGTAAATGCTATTCCATCCAATGGGGTGACCACAGTTTTTGAGTTAGCAAGACTGGTTTGTTTAAGTACCTCCTGTCCCTCTTAGAACCTCCAGGAATCTACCCCACATTTTTGCTGTATCGCTGTTGATAAGCCATGTATCTGTGGACCACAGTGTAGTTGGCTGGGTGCTTTCTGTGTGCTCCATGGAATGAGAAATCACACTTATGCCTTTTCAAAAGGAAAGTCTGATCCTGAGAATTCTGCCTTCTGCTATCCAGTTTCCTTAGAGAATGTTGCATTTACCCTCACATGTCCTTGTCCACACAACCCTTTTGCCTATGGAGTCACACACCTGCCATGACTATGCTTAAACCAAATAACACTTGGAGGATATCATAAGATACCTTGAAAGAGCAGAATGTCAGCCCACTGGCTTCCATTCAGACAAGCCTCATTCTGGAGACAAAAGGGACAAGGACTCTAATCTGAGGAATAGGCCAGCTCCAGGAAACAATCCCCCTAGCAGCTCTGGAAATGCTAGTTGAAACCAGCACACCTACACTGTGTATCTCTTAAATAACTTTTGTGTCTTCCAAAGGAGACTGAAGCAAAAACATGATTCAGATGGAGTTAGTGTGGAATGCTAGTATGATTGCTCTTGATTCCTGATGAGAACACAAGACCTTGACATTACAGAGTATCCCAGAGAACAAGGCTATCTCACACATGCATGCACACATACACACACACACACATACACACACAGACGCAGCATAATATTCTCAAAACTGTTCTGCCAATAGGAAGTGAGACCTCAGAAAAGTTATTTCTTTTAAGGTAGGAGTTAAAAAGCTTCTGTTGAAATACCTTGACTTGGACATAGACAAACTCTTTGTCAAAATGGAATGATTTCTTGTCTGATGATACCAGTCACTTCAACAAAGGAAAACACTGCATACTAAAGAAAATGAACTATGTTTTTTAAATCAATGTCCTGTGACCCACCCCCCTAACAACTGACTCTGTTCCAAGACTGGATTGCATTCCTGGCTCCAGGCTTCAGCTCCAGAACACCCCAGTGCATAGTGTGCATTCAGGCACTAAACCAATGAGTTGGACCTCTCTATACAAGCTTCTTTCTCTCTGTTTTTCTCTATATACATCTCTGCCATTGTATTTCTGTCTGTCTGTCTCTCTCTGTACATGTCTTTTTGAAAATATATCAGTCACAAAAAATCAAGGTTGCTATTTAAAAGTGGCTGTTAGTTGCTTACAGTTAATCCTAGTACTGGCAGTGATAGGTTGATGACATCATTCGCTGTGTCTAAATTGGTTACTGTCACAATTATAGACTGTAAAAGGAAAAGGAGAAAAACATTGCTGAAATGGAAGAATTTTGGAGCACATGACAAAATTATTATCAATTGTTACCCATAAGTTAAACACAAAGTTTGTTTTTAAAGTTCACAAAGTGTAAAGTAGAGCACTAGTCCTTAGTTAGAACTTATATTCATTCCTTTATATAACAGGAAGCCAATAGAAAAAATTTCAGTAAAGCATATAATTCTTTTTAAATAAAGAAGCTATGACACTCAAAATAAAACAGCTTAGGTGAGGTAAACAAATGCTGCAAATGCTGAGAGGGCATTTATTTTAGTACCATAACTTCTCACACATTCATTTCTAGTCCCTTAAGAACTGGCTATCACAGCCACTCTTGTTTGACCAACCAGAATGGAAGGAGCACTTTATCTGAGTTAATCACCAAACTTACGGAGACAATAAATCCAGGGCTTACAACTGAATGTTTTAGAAATTGAAGTTCCATTCCCAGCTCTGCCAGTCAAGAAGGGATCTAAAACAGCTCTCTATTGCCCTCACATTCACAGATTCCTCTATGGAAACCGGAGATGATTTACAGAAAAATCACATGAATAGTGTTTGTGAAATCAAATCTAGAGTTCACTAGATACTATACAAGACATTGTTTTTAAATAAGATAATATAGAAGCAAGAGCATGTATCATGGATTTAGTTGGAGAAATCAGACAAATCCATAATGAGGTCTGGGTCCTCTAATAAGCAATGCTTAAAGGGAACAAATAAATAGCAAAATTGGACTCCCACAGGCCTTAAGTATATTAAAACAAACTGGGTAGAAATATATTTCTAATTTATTTCTTTCCTTTGAATTCTTTTTTATAGGAAGATTGTCTTTATTATGTTTCATCCCCTGATGTTCTCTTAATAAAAGGGCATTTGTTAAGGAAATCAGAAAAAAGTATGATTGTAATTTACTAAACAATTTCATTCATTGGATACCATGCTCCTATTTTTTTTGTTCTTTTTCTTCAATTAGATTTTTTTATTTATAAATATAAATTTCCAAAGTACAGTTTATTGATTACAATGGCTTCCTCCCCCATAATTTCCCTCCCATTCGCACCCCTCCCATCTCCTGCTCCCTCTCCCATTCCATTCACATCAAGATTCATTTTCAATTATCTTTATATACAGAAGATCAATTTAGTATATATTAAGTAAAGATTTCATCAGTTTGCACCCACACAGAAACACAAAGTGTAAAATATTGTTTCAGTACTAGTTATAGCATTACTTCACATTGGACAACACATTAAGGACAGATCCCACATGAGAAGTAAGTACACAGTGACTCCTGTTGTTGACTTAACAATTTGACACTCTTGTTTATGGCGTCAGTAATCTCCCTAGGCTCTAGTCATGAGTTGCCAAGGCTATGGAAGCCTTTTGAGTTCACCAACTTCGATCTTATTCAGACAGGGTCATAGTCAAAGTAGAAGTTCTCTCCTCCCTTCAGAGAAAGGTACCTCCTTCTTTGATGGCCCCATTCTTTCCACTGGGATCTGACTCACAGAGATCTTTCATTTAGGTCTTTTTTTTTCCAGAGTATCTTGGCTTTCCATGCCTAAAATCACTTTTCTATACTAGCCTTATTTCCTCCTAAAATATTTTGTGTGATCTAAACTTACTATAAAGAACAAAGAAATGAGATATCTGGGATATCTAGTGCACAACAGTTCATAAATCAAATTTTACTCAATTGAAGCTATTCTTCCCAACAGCATGGGAAAATGAGGTAGAAACATGCTGATCTCCTAAAAGTGTGATCCCTCCAAGTCAATTCAGTCCTGACATTTTATAGAAAGGAACACCTTTCCAAAATCCACTCTATGTGGAACAACAGCTCAATGCAATACTTGACCCTGGAGTTCACCCTATCAGGAAATGGAGCATTATAGGAGTCAACTGATAAAATGGGAGCATGAATGGTAGATTACAATATTATATCAGTGTTCAGTTTACAGGTGGAGACTGTATAACCACTGTACTGCCTGGAAATACACAGGCATTCAGTACTGAAGGGCTTTAGTGAATGTAACTGGCCTTTGGAAATAGATATTCACATGCAAATGCCTAGATAAACCAGAAAAAATAAATAGTAATGCAAGTGGGGCAAAATGGTACCAAAAAGGAACCTTGGGATAAAAAACATTTGATATAGTTAGCACTCTTTTGTACATTTCTGTATGTTGACAAGTCTCCAAAATAAACAAAAGTATTTTAAAATAGATATCATTAAAAAATGAAAATAAGAAGCAACACTCCAAAAGTAGCAATAATTGAGAGAAATGTTTTAATTCCAAAAGAAATACCACCTTGTGGAAAATACTTTAATAAAGCAAAACACTACAGTTTATGTACATTTAACAGGTATTATTTCTGAGCATGCCCATTCAGATACTATGGGTTACTACTGGTTATTATTGCTTCATATTACCAGTAAATTACTTTTTATGTATACAAAGACATAGAACTATATGTGAAAATATATTTTCCCATATGGTCCTTTCCAAATGCTCGCTCACTTGCTCTCTCTCCCTCCTCTCTCTCCCCCTTCCATTGCTAATCACCTCCACACACACACACACACACGCACACTTCTTTGTCTCTCACAATCCCTGCCTCTATTCCTGTCTACCTCCCTTTTACTCTAAGTAGGAACTTGAAGCTTAAATTGAATAAACACACTTACAGAAGTACTTCTGTTCATAGCCTCAATGTTGATTTCAGTAAGGATGCTATGCATGTAGTTCTCTTCTTTGGCTAAATTTATTTGCCTAATAAAATTCAGTAATAACCAAAAATAGATGAATTAGCTATCGGCTCATTTCAGATCAATCCATATTGCAAAAATTTCTGTATATTTGATGTTTTATACATATACATATATATATTACAGTATAATTCAGCAAGATCAAAGTATGGATAGGAACTATAAACAAAAATAATTCTGGAAAATAAGACATGGTCCAGAGACTCACAGGTGGCACTGTGATCCACTACTCAAAGTACTCCTACCTGGATTGAAGGCCCTGTAACCTTCTAGGGTTGAAGAGTAGGAGGGGGCAATTACTTTGAGCCTCACTCAGTAGAGTAAGCTGCACTCACAGGAATGTAATACATAATGAGAATAACGTTAGCTCCAAGCCACAGGCTGGCAAAAAGGAAAAGATGAGAGGGGCATTTAACTTCCTCAACAATAAAGCATGCATGTAAATGAGGGAATATTATTGAAAGCATATGCAGAAGTCCAAATCAGAAATTATTTGAGGACAGTTTAACAAAGTATCTATTTTTAATAGTGAAATAATTTGGGGCCATGGCTTGCAGAAATTTACACACTTCTATCACAAACTAAAGATTCAAAGCATGTATTCTGGCCAAATACCTTTCAAGTAATGAATACCATTTTTCTTTTATCGCTGAAGATCTGCAATTAGACAAATGGGAAAAATTAGATGTCACAAAACATAGATTCTACCATGCTGGGACGGTCATTGCAGATTACCATCCAGAAGGCAGTGGCAGCTGGTGGGAATGCAGGTGTAGGTAGTTCTCTCATACTCAGGTTCTCGATGAACTCTGCTCTTGTACAGCAACGTCACAAGGATGGAAACAGGTTTCACAGTGAAAGACACTGATTTGGAATTTAAGCATTAAATTTAAATTTAAACAGTAGACTATGGGATGCAAGCTCTGTGACCATGGGAAAGTATGTGAACTGTTGTAAGCCTCAGTCTCCACAACTGAAAAAGTGGTTAATTAAACCTCAGAGAGTTCTTGAATCTCACTTGCTCACTCTCCTATTTCTTTATCCTCCACCATCTCCTTCTTATTGATCCTTTATCTCTAAATAATAACTTTCTTCAAACTGAAGTTTTGGTGGAACTGAATCCCCTTTGTGAACCTAAATGGCCATAAGAACACAAAATAGCCCTACTCTGTGTAAACAACTACTTTTTAGCTATTAACTTCACAGATGCCCACTATAAAGGGTCAAACACTAATAATTTTTCTGTGTTGAATGCCATACACTTGTTGTGATAAAGTTTAGTATGTGCAAAGGAACTGGTGAGCAACTATCAATGACGAATATATGAGAAGTCTATAAATTCATCTGAAACTCTACTGGGGAAGATAATACCTGCATCTTGAGGGGAGTGATGTCGGACAGTGGATTGTATTTCAAGCCTCACTCCCTCCAATTTTCTTTCTAAACACCAAACACCTACTCCCCAAGTAGCTCCCAGAGCCCCTTTGAAAAGTCATTGCTGGAAAAAAAATGAAGTTACTACACTAATTCCCACTATTTGACTATCCTTTCAGTGGTATTTGCATACAAAAACCTCTTGGGAGAAAGCACAATGCAGCCAAGTGCTATGACTAGAGGTCAAAATGTGAAGCAGTGCCATATTACATGAGCAGATTAAGATGCTTTCCTTTTCAAAAAGAAGTTTGGACAAAAATTTAATGACTTTTTTCTATCTATCCTGGACAAGAGGTGGTCAACTGTGTCCTTCCATGTCCAAGTAAAACAAGATAGAGTTGTGGTACTTACGGGAAAGTGGCCACAAAATTCAACAGTGGCCATCCCAGACGGAACGATCTCTCGACTAAACAGGGTTTGCCTTTTCTCTGTGTATCACGTCCACATTCAGCTATCCATAGGTGGTTCACTGGTATTCTGTAGTTTATGTTGAGAGACTTCTCATAGCTAGGAAAGATAATCAAGCAAAGTCTCTGTTAGTTGGCTACTTGACAAAATTCTCAACAGCTGAGCTCCTGAGGAAACCCAGGTTCTCCCTGTTTCAGGACAACCACCTCTCCTTCACATCTGTTTCCCTCAGTGCAGAGCACAGAGAGGCCTTCACCAAGAGTGTCCTCAGAAAAGGCTGGCCCAGGAAGACCTGAACACACAGAACTGCAGGTAGCCAATAGCTACCAATGGACTGCTCTTTCTCTGAATGCTGACTATGGGGCATGGAGCACACTCTGTATATTAAAGATACTACTTTTTGAGAGAGTCACTCTTATTATCTACATATCATGTACTTCAAAAAGTACTTCAGAGGCCAAAGATTGAAAATGGCCTTTGTGAAGAAACAATTAAATCCTCTTCATTATTGCATACAAACTAAAATTCACTTACTGTACAAAGTGCATACATGTCACTTGATCAAGTACTTGCTGAACTTGGTTACTACATCACCCTAAAATGTCAGCAAGTTTCCCCAGAACCTGAAGGTGGGCTGAAGTCTAAGGGAAACTAAGTCACCCAGTTTCTCTCTCGGGATAAGAGGAACAATGCTGCACTGATTCGGGGTGACTGATTTGACCAAATTAACTGAATCAAGGCATAACACAATGTTCCATTGTGAGAGTGAGGTGTTACAAAGAAGAAATAAGTTTGTTCATATAACGGAGTTATTTCTTTACAAAGTATATTATTGCTTAACAAAGAAGCTTGTCATACTAATAGTGACTGTGAATGTACCCAAACATTTACGATGGTAATGGCTGCAATCAGTTTTCTAAAATATGTGATATGATCTTAGGTAAGGTGGCAGCACTCAGCACTCAAAAGCACCTTATCAAATAATCTATGTTTTCTCTGTCTCAAAGGTCTGAGGTATATAAGCCAAATTCAAATACCTTTGACTGCTTATCCTTTCTGATATCCACAATAGATGTACAAAGTAAATAAAATTGTCTTTTAAAAACTGCCCTATTCTTGATTGTATTTTCTACAGTGTCATAACACAAATCAGGACCTGCATGTTATTTGTTGATTAAATGAAGAATCAAAATATTTGCAAAAGCAAAAGTAAAATCACTCTATTTGCTTATAGTAAGAGTTCATGAAAACACAATTTATTAGTGGTAATATATTTTATGAAAATCAGGACAGCATATATTATATACATACCTTGAGTTAGATATTAGTAAAACCAAATGATACAAAATTGCCAAATGCTTCTTTTTCTTCAATCCAGCTCTTAAGGTCACAGGGCCATGGATCAGGATTTCATGGTCAACACCTTCCAGCAATGTGATCTTTTCAATTCGGTTGTCAACCGCAGGGAGCAAGCTGTCCCTTAGGTACACCAAACACCCAGAACAGACAGTCATGATCAAATATATGACAGTTTATGCCAAATTTTAGTGGTTGCCCTGTGATAAAAATTATAGACTCAAGTCCCCAAACAGCTCTACAGCTACAGTCCAAGTGAGGTTGTAGTTTTCAAAGCTATCAAAGAGAAGAGGACACTTCGGGAGCTGGATGGAAACCACAATCAAGGGCAGTGCCCAAGGGCAGGCCCTTAGAGGTGGGGGAAACAAGGCAGCAGCAGCTCAGATCAGAGGCCATGGGGAAGGGGGAAGAAGGGCCCTAGGCTGAGAGTGTAACAAAAAGGGAGCAACCCACCACGTCTAATGCTGGGCAGACACTTTCTGAGGACTGACCACTGGATGTAGTAACATGGAGGTCATGGGTGACCCTGAACAAATGAGTTTGGAGAATTGAAAGGAGGAGGGTTGTTTGGAGGCCTGTGCTAGGCAGGGTGGCCACCCTAAAGATGCACCTACTCTGACCCCTACAACCAATGAATGCACCACTTGGCAAAAGAGGCTGTGCAGATGTAAGAATGTGAACAATATTATAGGGAGATTAACCTTGTGAACCAAAACTACTCACAGGAGCCCCGAAATTGGAGAAATGTCACATAGATTGAGTCAGGGAGATGCACAAAAGGGGGAACCAAAGAGAGCTGAAGGGTAAGAGAGAGGCTGAATCAATCACACGGGTAGGAGCCACATGTGAACGTGAGACAGGACACAGCCAGCTCCCAAGAGCCAACATCAACCATGAGCTGACAGCCAGTGGGGAAAGGGAAACCTCAGTACTGCATCCTCAAGGAACAGAATTCAGCCAAAGATCTGATGAGCTCAGAAGCAGATGCTGGCCCAAAGTCTCCAGGAAGAAGGGCAGCCTGCCACCACCATGACCAGGCCTAACAGACCCTAATCAGAGGACCCAGAGAAGACCAAATAATCCTCTGACCTACAGGCTTGGAACAAGACATCCCTGTGCAATCTTAAGTCACTAAGTCTCTGATAATAGTTGTAGCTGCACTTAGGAAAAAAAAAAAAAGATTTTGTTCTGTGGGACTGTGCTTTGCTGTAATAAGCACAAAACTATCTGAATGTGGACTTGAAGTCAGCAGGAAATGGAAACTAGAAAAAGTTTGAGGAAGCTGTGAAAAAAGATCTTGAAGACTCCTTGAGAAGAACCATGGACATTCAGGATTCTGCCACTGAAGGCTCAGAAGGTACTGAGAGACATTAACAAAATTAAAGTACCAATGTCTCTACCTAGCCAAGTATCACTGGAGCACATACAATAAGAAAATGTGTGATGTGGAAAAACAATATCAGTTTATAGTGTTAGATTGAAAGATAAAAGTAAAATATCAAAAGCAAAATTCTGTAAAGTTCTCCATAATCATTTGCTGCTGTTTCATTCTGATTGACAGCAACAGGTATGTCCATTGACAAAAGTTCCTGTCACATTTTTACTGGAAAATAAAATATTTTCTTAATGTTTTAAAGCAATTTATCTCTTTATATATATATATATATATATCCATTCAGTTACCTAATAAACACTTATTCTACCTCAGTCACTATCTACATGCCGTAAGGGCCACTTAGATATGAGTTTTTACTTACCAAGAGCTTAAAAAGGAGAAAACACTTTTTTTAAACCTATTTAATTTACCCACCATAGGTAAAACAAATGACATGAAGATTTGGGAAAAAGTAATTATAACTGACTTTCATGTTAACATGAAAATTTGTATAATGATGGGTCTATTAAACTGAATCCCATCTTACATAAATCAATATTCACATTTGGAGGAGAAAGTGCTAAATAATACCAAATGATAATAGAAACATCCAAAAGTTTCTGAACACCAGAGCATGCTTAGATATCAGTTGAAAGAAAGCAAAGGAAAGAAAGAAAGAAAGAAAGAAAGAAAGAAAGAAAGAAAGAAAGAAAGAAAGAAAGAAAAGAGAGGAGAGGGAGGGAGGGAGGGAGGAAGAGAGGGAGGGAGGGAGGGAGGGAGAAAGGGAGGAGGAGGAAGGGAAGGAAAGGAGGGAGGGAGGGGGAGGAAGAGAGGGAGGGAGAAAGGAAATCAGAGTGAAAGAAAGAAAACTAGAGTGAAAACAAATGAAGTTCTTTCATAAATAAGGCAGCCCTTTCAGAGACCTACAGAAAATTATTTCCCATGGAGCCAAGGTCTCCCCTAAGCATACAAATCTGCTCTCTTGAGCTCAAGGGCAGTAATCTGAGAAGCATGATCAGCTTTTCATTAAATCAGTGCTAAGGCTATAAGTTCCTGTTTCAGGCACCAGCAGAGAACAGTTCCTGGGACCCCCAGTCTGTCAGGATGATCAGCAACAGTAAAAGGAGGGCCTACCTGGCGCAGTGAACTTTTGAATGACGTCCAAAACGTTTTAAACGCTTTTTGGTTGATGAAAACATCTTTTTTTTCTTCAATTTTAAGCACTAGAATGCAGTCCTGTCTGCAGCAATCGCTAAAACACTGTGGGCTAATCCACAAAGACCAGATTCTGCAGTAGTCAGGACAGCCCACCATTATGATGTCACCACTCTGAGGCTCATGTCCTAACCAGGATTCTCACAGGCTGACATACTGGTTTCCTTGATTTTGGCCCCATGTTTCGATTCTTCAATTGTTGATTCACACAGAGTTGTAACAAATAACACAGAGATACCAGCAAACTTTCATTCAGTTCTCCCAAAAAATACAGTATAATTGAATATTACTATAAAATTATATAATATTGTATATAGTAACATTATATACAATACTAAAATAAGTTTTTCTTTATTTATTTATATACTTGAAAAGCAGAGGGACAGCCAGAGAGAGATTTTTCATCCTCTGGTTCACTCCACACCTAAGGCTGTGTCAGGAGCTCTATCCTGGTCCCCAACATGAATAGTCATGGTCCAAGTACTCTGACCATAATTTTCTGTCTTTTCAGGTGCATTAATAGAAAACTGAATCAGAATGAGAGCAGCAGGGACCCCAGCTCACACTCTGATATGTGTTGGCATCACAAACAGCAACTTAATCCCTGCGCCACAATGCCAGCCCCAAAAGTAGGTATTTTTATTATTTTTGTCTTGATTTGTTTGTTTCTTTAGAAGCATCTAAGGCTGGGTAATGTGTAAAAATATGACATTTATTTATCTTAAAGTTGAGAGGCTGAAAGGCCAAGATCAGATGTCCCACTGATTTTGCCACCTTTCCTGGCTGGTATCTCCTTGCTGTTTCTTTACAAGGCAGGGAGAAAGAGGTGAGATTCAACATGGGAATTTGGAGACACACAATTCACACCACATCAGTCTTACTTCAGTTATTGCATTGAACACTGATGTTTCTACACTAAATGCCAAATAGCATATCAAGGTGATGCTATGCCAGTAATACCAGTATTTAACCACATCACACCACAACACAAAGCTATTTTCTTCTTTCTATTTTTTCCTTAAAACTTTAAGTGAGTGTTGAAATGGCAATATAGAAAAGAAGACTTTGTAGAGATGATCACAGGAGATTTGGGGTCAAACTACGTGGTTTTGAATCTGCTTTCATTATTTACTACCTATGGGACACTGAGCAAAGCAATTATCTGTTAAAGTCTCAGTGCCTGTATTTGCAGACATGATGGGCAGAGCTCCTCAAGAGGGTGTCAGGACAATTACATGAGGTCATACTACAGAGAACTGAGGATTGTACCTAACACAGTAATCCTGTAAACATCAGGTATGCTTCCTGGAGGCAGAAAGCCTTCCCCTTGCAAACTAGCAAATGGTATCGTGGGTGTGCTTCTATGTCCAGAGAAGGGAGAAGGAACAGGTGGTAAAATCAAATACATGGAACAATGACAAGGTGCCAAGCTCCTGGCCAGGTGGCCTACGGACACAACCTCACTTCTTCCACTTCACATTGTGAGCTAAGAATCTTTATTTCCATTCCACAGATGTAAAGACTGATGCTTAGTGGAGTTAAATAACTGAGAGCCACATATTCAACCTTTTGTAGTCAGGATTGTTGGATTCCTGAGTTACACAGTGTTTCCACAATCAAGCAATGCTTTCCCCTGTGGAGGAGGGAAAAACACTCCTCTATGTGACATCACATCCTGTCCAGGGAGGTTGCAGACTCAGGTACCTGGCATGTATCTGAGGCTTCATCACTCTCTGTATCTAGAGAGGGTGCTCATTCAAACTCACTCACTCTCTTCTCTTTCATGGCTGGTTCTAAACATTTTAACCTCTGTGGGCAGCTTGTTGCCAACTCTCAGACAGCAAGTTGGCATCAGCTGTCAGAGCTGGCAGGAGACATCTGTTAATTTAAGCATTTAGACCCACCTTCATGACAATGGCCAGGCTGTCCACGGTGGCCAGTTTTAACAGCCCTTTCTTGGGGTGGCAGTGGGGTCCAATATGTTAAGCCCCTGCATGCAACCTCATCATCCCATTTGGGAGTGCCAGTTTCACTTCTAGTTGCTCTTCCTCCGATCCAGCTCCCTACTGATGTGTCTGGGAAAGCAACAAAGGTGGTGCAAGTACTTGGGCCCCTGCCACCCACATGGGTGACATGGTTGGAGTTCCTGACTCCTGGCTTCAGCCTGGCCCAGTTTCAGTCACTGCAGCCACCGGGCAGTGAACCAGCAGAAGGAAGAGTTCTCTCTCCTTCCATCTCTCCCCCTTCCTGTCTGTCACTCTACCTGTGAAGCAAACAACAATAAAAACACTTTCCACTCTGTGCTCAACCTGATCTTCATCCTGAGTCACTGCTACTGTGAGTTTTCCCTTCTCAATCTGCTGCTCTGATGCTGTCATATTTGCTCCACCACGTGATGCATCCCCACATCCTGACAGAAAGCACTTGTCTCTGTGCCCTTTTCTGCCCTCTGTGGAACGTAACTGGAAGTCATACTGAGCCTTTCGGGAACCCAGCTGAGGACAAAGACTGCATTCAGTGATATGAGTGGATCCCTGAGTACCAGATAAGAATGTGCCATAACACTAAGAAATAAATAAAATTTTGAGACAATATTTGAAAAATTTAAAACAACTGTAAGATATGGGACGTACAAAATATCTATGTTGGAGATGGTGTTGTGGTGCAGTGAGCTAAGCTGCCATCTGCAACACCATCATCCAATATGAGAGCCAATTTGAGCCCCAGCTGCTCTGCTTCCAATCCACCTCCCTGCTAATGCACCTGGGAAAGCAGCAGGTGATGGCCCAAGTCCTTGGGTTCTTGCATCCATGTGGGAGACTCATAAGGAGTTCCAAGCTCCTGGCTTCAGCCTGGCCAAGCCCCAGGTGTTGCAGCCATTTGAGGAATGAAGTAAGGATTCTCTCTCTTTATCTCTCTCTCTCTCCTCCCCTTTTCTTTTTCTCTCTCCCCCACTCTGAGTGTGTATGTGTGTGTGTGTGTGTTTGTAAATCTGCCTTTCAAATAAATACATAAATCTTTTTTAAAAAATCTAAATGCACCTTAAATAGGTACATAGGCACTATCATCTTTTCATTAAAGGGAGAGTTCTTACACCACAGAAGAAAACTGTAGTACTAATATTACAAACTCTTTGCCATGATTCATAGAGATGAAGGGGAAAAAAAAAAAACAACTCAGCTTCAAAACAGGATAACACAAGAGGCAAAGGGAGAAAGTTCAAGGAAAACAGATGTAACAGTTAACTCCTGAAGAAAATAGATACCTAAAAGAAAAGAAAAATTGATATTTAAAAAAAGTTAACACTTCCAGAATCAAGAAGGGAAAGAGTGACTAAGAATTAAGAACAATCAGAAACATTTAATGTTTTATGTTTATGATCCTAGATATTAAACACACTATTAGCCAAATGAGTAATTTCTTGAGGGTTTGAAGGCTAAGCTTAAGGAATCCCATGATCTAACACTTGACAAATGTATTTCAGTTTTTAATGTCCTAAGATTACATGTTTTCCCTCAACAGGTAAACCCATTCTAAGTGGTCCATGAGTATAGGGCAATTTAATAATTGGAATAATGTAAATGCTATTTCAGTTTGCCCAGCCAGCATACAAATAAAACATGAAAGACAACAACAACTCTGATTGAGAGTAAAAGCAATAGAAGTATGTATCTAAAAATAATATAACATAAATGTTAAAGCAGTAGAGAGATATGACAGGTAATGTCACACAAATGTGTTTACTAAAACAGACAACAAAATATACAATTTCAACATATTCTTTAAAATTGAAAAGATAACCACCAGAAGACCCAAACAGTATGACTTGGAAGTCATAGGTATAGATAGACATGGAAATGGTGGAAATGTGGCCAAACTATCTCTTCTTTCAGTAGATTCCTTCTGCTATAGTTTTCTGAATTTGTTTCCCAAAGTCTTGTGCTAGAAACTCAACCCCCAGTGCAGCAGTGTTGGGAGGTAAGGTCCATTGGGAAGTATTTTCATCATGAAGCTTCTGCCTCATGAATGGATTAAAGTCCTTTACTCAGGAGTGGGTTCAGTATCCAAGGAATTGGTATGAAAGGAAAGTGAGTTAGGAGGGCCAGTACTGTGGCACAGTGCTTCACCTACTACTTGTGATGCTGACATTCCATATTTGGAGTGGTGGTTTGAGTTGCAGCTGCTCCACTTCCACTCCAACTCCCTGCTAATGCACCTGAGAAATCATCAGATCATGGCCAAAGTACTTGGTCTCCTGCCAACCACATGGAGAATCAGAATGCTGTTCTTGGCTCCAGGATTTGGTGTGGCCCATACCTTGCTGTTGTGGCCATTTTGGCAGTGAACCAGGAGATGAAAGATATTTCTCTGTCCATCTTTAAATATCTTTAAAATAAATTAATAAATCTTTTTTAAAGAGTGGAGCAGGCCTGTCTTGCTGTCTCTCACATGTTCCTTTGTGCTCTTTTGCCCTTCCATTAGTTGCCATGTTATGACACAACAAGAAGGCCTTCATCAGATGTGGTCTCTTAATCTTGGACTTCCCAGTCCCCAGAACCATGAGCCAAATCAATTTCCAGTGTTTATAAATTACACAGTGTGTAGTGGTCTGTGCAGATCACAAAACTCACTAAGGCACTAATTGCATTGAAAGCCAAGAAGTGGGAGTATTAGCATATGATTTAAAAAAATACAATAACCACCAACATAACAGAAGAGGCTTTAAAATAGGGAGCTAGATTAGAAGTGGGAAGTGTGGGAAAAAAGCCAGGTGGAGAATTTACTTTTTGTTGTTTGATGTTTTGTATGTGTCTGTATATTCACTTTATCCTATAAAAGTTAAAATGAGAACAAAAAAATGTAAAGCTTGCTGCACCTGCTGCTCTTAGCTCTACCCTCACTCCCACCCCTTCCCTGATGGCAGCCATTCTTCCTAGATTCATGATCAGATTCTAAGAAGAAGTAAAAGAGAATAATAAAGAACAATCATGCTCATGTGTGGGCTATCTGGGGTCTTTCTACCTGGTTCTCAAGATCTCTCTTTTTAATGGACCAACCTTTTGAACTAACTTTTGACTAATCCATGGCATCTAGAATCTTATTCATGTTTTACAGAGCAATGGAATTATTCTCTTATTTCTTGACAAGAGTTAACATCAATTCATTGATCATTCCTGTGTCCTTATAGTTTTTTTTTTTAATTATTGATTAGCATCAACTACTTGCCAGTTGAGATCTATTTGATCTCTCTAGGCAAGAATGACAAGTCTGTGGCAGGGTGATGAAATTACTAGAACCAAATAAACAGAAAATCATCTATTAAGTTACAGTGCTGAGGGAGAAGGATAGCAGTTGATATCCTATTCCTCCTATTTTCAGAGAGAAGAGTGAATTTCACTTCACTCCTGAAGAGAACATACCTGAGAAACTTCAGAAGTTTTCTCTAGACGTACCCCAACTTGCACTGAGGTGCTGAAAGCATTCGACACTAGACATGAGGACATGAAAACACAAGAAAGAATAATGTCTCCAGTGCTCACTGACAAAACAGTGACATACATGACGAGTTTCCCAGAAGCAACAACAATGCCACCAGAAACAACACACACACATGGAAACTCACACACATGGATTTGTGGGGGCACAATTGCTAATAGGCAATTTGGGTTCAGGAAATAGAGACTCACCAGCTGTGCACTCCATTTTTCTTTTTTTTAATGTATATAAATGGAACAGATTTCATGCATTTCTTATACAGTTTTAAGAACATAATAATACTTCTCACTCTCCCTCCCTTGCTCTCTCCCACCTTCCTCCTTCCTTCCTTATGGCTGTGTACTCTTGCACTGGTCTTCCATGCAGCTGGGACCCAAATGTGCTCTGATCTTTGCCAGCTATAATACAGGAATCTGTAAGTTGTATACTATTCCCTTTGGTTGACAAGAGTCATTTCCATGATTCTATTTGTGACAACTTTTGCAGCAGAACTGTAGTTTCTTTTCTGACTACTAATCTCTTGGAGGGCTGAACAAAAGTAGGAATTTGAATTGATTTAATTTCAAATAAACCACAGAAGCCATGTCCATCCCTGTGAAAGACAACCCAGGATACAGAGGCAGTTATAAGGATTCAGGTATCCAAGGAAGACTCTCTGCCTGAGATTGAGCTGCTCCTATGAAATGGGAACAAAGGAATTGGAAATTTTACATCTGTTGGTTTTTCATGTGTGAAGGAAAAAGTGGAACATTTTTATGTTATCTATCCAGTCTTTGCAATTGCTTCAGGGAGTCTGGTGAGATATTTTAGACAACATAACTGGCCATGATTACCGATAAGTACTAGAATAGGGAATGGATTCTCAGTTTAGAATGCTCATCAGCAGTTTAAGAGGGACTTAACAGCAGAAAGATGCAGGGCTTAGACATAGAGAAGGCAACAGTCCTAGGAGCATGCAGACTTCCCACAGGGATGAACAGCCCACCCTGGCTCATCTCTGATTACTCGTGCAGTCCTGTGGGTGGTGGCATTTCTTCTCAATCCTCCTCCATGATTTTTCTATATCAGCTTATCACCATCGAATCCTGATGTATTAAGATATTCATGGTGTACTTTTGAAATCTTTTGCTTACAGCAATGTGCCAAAATACTTTAGGTATACATATTTCTGAATACAGATGGACACCTATCTGTTTATCTAAGTATCTATGAGTAGAAAAAATGTCTTGAACTGCCTATCTGGAGGCTACCTCAAATCCCCTTAAACAAGGACAATGGAACACACACTGTTCCCTGCTGAGAGAAGAACAAACAGGCAAATGCAGGGAGGGAAACTTGATACTCCACTATTTGCATTCCAATCCTGATATCAGAAAATGGTACTGGAGCCTTCTTTCTCTCACTCTATCTCAAGCAGCAAAGGAATCTTTCCAAAACAGCATGTGGCCCAAGTCTCTCACTTCCCCATCAACCCAACCTGTATTCACTCCAAAGCTCACTGAACAGGTGTGAGCACCTCACTGGTGCCTGGCACAGGAGATGTTCCAAACCCATGAAGCTCCCTTTCCAGATCTGGAAGCTCTATACTCACAGCCTGTTTTACAGAGCTATGCTGGCTATTAGTCGTTGCAAATACACAATCCAAAAGCTGTTTTGTAGAAATATTGTGGCCACCAGAATCAACATATCTTCAAAACAAATAATTTCTATACTTGGAAAGTGAGTCTGCCCTTTCTGAAAGTAAATTCACACCCACGACCCAAGGCATCCACTATTATATGTCCATGTCTAGACAGTTTTCAAAGATGTTCAAGATATTTCCTTTGCATCAAAATGGAGTAGATGTGGTCCATTTTATATTTAGAGGCCTTTTGGTGCACAGATAAGATTCCAAGACCATAAAGATTTTGTGGGAAGTTGTTTGGCTCAGGATGCCAGTACCCTACTTGGGATTCCTGGGGTTTGAGACCCAGCTCCTTTCTTGATTCCAGCCTACTGCTAATGTGCACCATGGGAGGCAGATGATGGTTCAAATACTTGGGTTTCTGCCATCCATGTGGGATACCTACACTGAGTTCCTAGCTCCTGGCTTCAGCTTAACCCAGCCCTGGCTGCTAAAGACATTTGGGGAATAAATCAATAAATGAGAGATCATGTTACCCATTTGTCCCTGTCTTCCTGTCTCTCTACCTTTCTAACTGATAAAATAAAATTCTCTTAAATTTTAAAAATTTTGGTCTGCTCTAAGTCTGACTGTGAAAACTTGCCAGGACCAGTGCTATGGCATAGTAGGCTAAGCCTCCACTTGCTGTACCAGTATCCCATATGGGTGCCAGTCATATCCTGGCTGTCCCTCTTCTGATCCAGCTCTCCGCTTATGGCCTTGGAAAATGGCCCAACTGCTTGGGCCCCTGCAACCACAGGGGGGACCCCTAAGAAGCTCCCAGCTCCTGGCTTCAGATCAGCCCAGCTCCAGCCATTGAGGCCATTTGGGGAGTGAACCAATGGGTGGAAGAGTTTTCTCTTTGTCTCTCCCTCTCTCTGTCTATATCTCTACCTCTCAAATAAATAAATGAAAACTCTTTTAAAAAAAGAAAACCTGTTTGCCTAGAAAATGATGCAAATAAACATAGTTGAAGTAGACTCTACAAATAAATAATTATATCACATTTCTCTCTTATAAAACTATATCAGATGATAGCAGAGAATAATAGGGAATGAGTTAACACAAAACAACTAAAGTTATTAGAGTGTCAGCTCTGACTTTTTTCTGCCAACCCATTTTTAAATGGTCTTGTTGCTGGGCTACAAGCTTTTTGCCAGACTAGAACAGAATTGTAACTCTAATAGATGAAGTAGCCAAACTGAACACTGTTGGCTTTCAAAGACATAAACCACTTAGAATGGAAAGATCTCTAAAGATCTGATTTTAGAAAATATAAATAACATTTGAAATAGAGGGGACAGCTTTTATTCTATATTTATTACAACATAAATTTTGATTATAGTCACTGAGCACAATGACTTGAAATATATTTCATATATTAATAAGCTTGAACAATACATTATTATTTGCAAGTTAAGCCAAAAAGAAATTCCTCCAATTCTCTCCGTAATGGAAGCTGGGGGGAGTCATGGATGGGCTTCCTTGACTGAAGACAGAAGCAAGAGTCCATCTCAACTTTAAACAACAGTACAACTGATATGCCCATGAAGCCCACAATTCAACTTCTCACAACAGCATGAAATTCAGTGAAATAATTCACATCAAAGATGTAATAAACTGGGCTGGCACCACGGCTAAACAGGCTAATCCTCCGACTGCGGTGCTGGCACACCGGGTTCTAGTCCTGGTCAGGGTGCCGGATTCTGTCCCAGTTGCTCCTCTTCCAGGCCAGCTCTCTGCTGTGGCCAGGGAGTGCACTGGAGGATGGCCCAAGTCCTTGGGCCCTGCACCCCATGGGAGACCAGAAGCACCTGGCTCCTGCCTTTGGATCAGTGCAGTGCACTGGCCGCAGTGTGCCAGCCATGGCAGCCATTGGAGGGTGAACCAACGGCAAAAGAAGACCTTTCTCTCTCTTTCTCACTGTCCACTCTGCCTATCAAAAAAAAAAAGTAGTAAACCAAAGATGCTAAGTGATTTTAATCTGATGCATTAATATGTTTGAACCCAGAAATCCCCATGTGAACTTCCAACCATAAAAGCTGAATATTACAATGTAGTCCATAAGCTGTACTTTGGGAATCTATATTCATTAAATAAAAGTTAAAAAAAAAAAAGAAATTTAAAAAAAAGCTGAATATTAGTCTTGCAGGCTGAAGACATTCAGCTCAATTTGAACATTACAGCATTAGTGACATCTGGTGGAAAATGTCGGAGTTACAAT